TTTCTTGAAATTCTAGCTCTTTCCTTTCTTCCATTCTATTAATCTTGTTTACTATCCACATTCTGAACTCAATTTCTGTCATCTCAGCCATCTCTTTATGGGTTAAATCTTCAAATACCTCTGCCACGTCCTTCAAGTTGGGTTGGGGGCTCTGGGAGTGATGTTTTGCTGGCCTTTTGGGGCAAAGGCTGGGAGTAGTGTCTGTATCTTTTCCCCTAGAACTTTGCCAAAGATGCAAATATTGCTACGGTCTGAGAGCCTAGAGGTCTGCTTGTCTCTATCTTGTTTACAGTTGTTATCTATTCTACCTTAGAAAATCAATTACTCTGGGTTAAGATCAGCTGTGGAGAAATAAGAGTGATTAAGTCACCCCTCCCCTTACTGGCGATGATCGGGAACAGAAAACCACACTTTCCCTCAACCACACCCCCAGGGTATCACTTTAGATAGTTCTCAGGTGATTGGCCCAGTTCAAATGATATGAGACAGGTGTCACAGTTAACACAATTCTCAGGTGGGGGAGTTCGAGAGGTCTCTGGCAACTGTACAGCAGGGATCTTCTGACAGCGCAGGTATGGCCTGCTCCGGTGTTCTGTGGGGTCAGAGGGACCTGCCCAGCAAATATTCCTTCTAGGTCTTGAAGTACTGGTCCTGGGAGGAAGGTCAGCTGGGTCCTGCTCTCTTTCTACGTCTATCAAATCGGCCAACTTGGACAAGAGCTTTTTTCTCTCTGGTGGATCTTCCTGTAGGCCAGAAGTGATGTTTAACCAACTCACTCATCCTCCATTTGTTTCCAAGGATTTTGGCATCATCTACAGACCCCACAGGACTCTGGAGCTCTCCCTGGCTGGCACAGGCTGCAGGTCGGGGTGCTGGCACATGGTCTTCAGACGCCAAGGCAGGGGCTGCCGAGGGCCACAGTCAGTGCTCCTCCTGCTTTCCAAAGTGTCTTTTTTCCGAAAGTCACACGGGGGTGTTGTGTGGTGTTCTTTCTCGCAAGGAGAGAAGGACGGCTTGGCTGCGGGTGCAAGTTCGCTCCTAGAATTGTTTAAAAGCAAGAAACAACTCTATACTTAGCTCTTAACTGTTTTTAAAAATATGAAATGGATTTTAAATTTTACCAAATACTTCTTCGGCAGCAATTTAAGATTTTTCACATTTTTTCCCTTTGGGTTTATTAGCATGCAAGTTGTGTTGGCCAATCTGTGAGCTTGGGCAAAGCATGGTATAAACTATGCTTTGCTAGCTTTTCACTTAATGTATTTTTATAAGCAATTTTGGAGATTTTCTAAAACACAATTCTATTATCTTTATAGAACAAATATTGTTATCTTCTCCTTTTTCTATCTTTTGGAAATGAACATGTCTACATATCTGTGTGTTGTGAGCATGTGTTTGCTAGGCTTAGAGGGGTCGGAAAATCTCTGTGCAGTGGGATTCTCAGCATGTTTACTTTGTGCAAATATATAAAGGGAATTTACTCATGAGGCTAGTTGTTATTTGTTCCACTATCTATTTTTTCCCTGGTAACAATAAATCTCCATTCTCTGACTGAATCTCTCATTAAAATTGCATTTTCTTCTATAACTTTGGTCTCTTTCTTCCTTTGTTTCAAATAAAGTCCTGATGCTATTCATTTGACACATAGAATTTTATCAATATTTTCTTTTTTTTTTTTTTGAGACAGAGCCTCAAGCTGTCCCCCTGGGTAGAGTGCCGTGGCATTACAGCTCACAGCAACCTCCAACTCCTGGGCTCAAGCGAGTCTCCTGCCTCCGCCTCCCAAGTAGCTGGGACCACAGGCGCCCGCCACAACGCCCGGCTATTTTTTGGTTGCAGCCGTCATTGTTGTTTGGCGGGTCCGGGCTGGGGATTCGAACCCGCCACCTTAGGTGTACGTGGCTGGCGCCTTAGCCGGTTGAGCCATAGGCGCCGAGCCAATATTTTCTTTTTTATATATGATTACTTTCCTGATTCTGAGCCTTTTTTAGAAGAAGAGCATATAGTTTTATGTAGTCTTATTATTGCTACCTGTATCTTCTCCCAAAGCCATTATTTAAATAGGAGTCACGTGAAAGAAATGGATTTAATATTTAAACTATGGAGAAATGTTGAATAGAGGAAAGGAAAATAACAGAGCCTTTCTTTTATTGTGTATTTATGCTGTACATAACACTATTACACACATTGCCTCTCTCACTTCTTAGACAGGATGTGTTACTTTCCCCTTTTCTTTTTGTTAAAAGACATGTAAAGGGGATCAGTAATCATTGCAGCTCACGATCCAGCAGTTTCAGGGCCCAGACTGCAGCATGGGCCTCTGCCTGGTTCCAAAAGCCACAGCTCCCAGCCCTTGCAGGTGTTGCTGCCAAGAATGGGCAGGACCCAGCAGGCACATCCATTTTATTTTATTTTATTTTATTTTATTTTATTTTCAGGCTAATGTGAGGCCACAAACAAAGCAAACTGACAATCTTCAGACTAGGAAAAGGTGTATACATTTTTATTATTTTATTTTTTTTATTTTTTATTTTTTTATTGTTGAGGATTCATTGAGGGTACAAAAAACCAAGTTACACTAACTGCATTTGTCAGCAAGGTCCCTCTTATAATAAATGTGTTCCTCCCCTAAGAGGTGTGCCAAACACAGTGACCCCTCACCCCCTCCCTCCTTCCCTGTCTCCAACCTAGTATACAGTGGGAGGTGGGGTGAATGGGGAGCAGAGAGAGATATCTTCATTTTTAAATGGAACAATAGTTTCATAGTAAGTGGTGAAAGGCAAGTTTCTTTGAAATTTTAATCCTGAGAAGTTAAATTAAATAGTATGAAGCTTTGCTTATTTTCCTGATAGGTAACAAAATTTAGTTTCTATTTTAATTGCAGTTATGTACAAATTCCCTATAAAAAAGAATAAATTGGAGAGGATGAAACAGGTGATAACATGACATGGCCTCTTTGACTTCATAGTCACTCCTGCAAAAGCAGCGGGGCAGGACCCCTGGGGCCTCTTATCTTCTGAGACCCTCAGCGCCCTCCGCCGCAGTCTTTGCCCCATCCCTGTGCAGCCTCGCTCCCTGTAGAAAGCACCCTGCCCTTCCCTCTCCACCTGTGCAGCTTCTTGTTGACAGGCCCTGCTGTTTTCCAGCCTCTCCCCGTTGACTGCACCTACAGACCGCACACCCTCGCATGCTCTGTTCCCGTTGCATCACACTCAACAGGAGGGGAAGCAGGGGTTCCCTCTGGTCCAGGGTCCACGCATCAGTGAATGATTTTATCCTAGACTATTTCATCGTTCGTAGGGTGGACAGAGTGTAGAATAAGAAGGATGCCTGTGTGCCCTACCATGCCATCTGCCTGGGAGAGAGGGACAGCTCAAGCTCACAACAAGCCAAGCACAGGGATTGAAGCCACCTGCCAAGACCCAGGGCACAGAGAGGGAGAATGTGTAGGACCAGATGATGGGGCTACATGAAACACCTAGTCTTCCTCACACATCAGAGGTGTAGTTGTGCATTGTTCTCCAGGACACGAAACAAGTCTCAAGATACTCATTCTGCCTTTTTAACTGTCATCATATAACTGAAATCATGATGGCAGCCTATCCCACTAAAATGGGAGCCTGGTGCTCAGGGCTTACCTGAGGATAGCCCCTGCCTTCACACATCAGGCACTGCTGAGCAGGGTGGCTCTCCTGCCTCTGAGACTGGCATCACCCACCCACTCCCCCTTTCTCCTGCCTGTCCTGCATGTAGGCATCTCTGCCCATTTCCCTTCTTCCCCTCGCATTGGGGACCCGCAGTATCTGGGCTCCTTCTCACCCCCTGGGCCCTGAGTGGCCTAGTCATGGTCCTCAGGACTGGCCCACAGTACAGCTTGGCTCCCCTATACCCTGTCCATACCACATTCTCCAGCCAGTGGAGACAACTGCCCGGTGTCACAGGGAGCATGAGGAGGTGCTTCAGTGAGGAACCACCTCTTTGTCCAAAGCTAGAGCAACACAGACACTCTACATTGTTTGCCAAGTACAAGGACAAATGAACAAATGTATGATACATAAATGTGTCATGACTTTCATGCTTTAAGAGTTTAACACACATTGATTTAGTAAAAACTTTCTAAGAAACAAAAGCCAAATAAGCAGAATGATAAACATGTGCACGTCTCTCTCAATCCCTACAGATGTACCGGGCCAGGTCTTGAAGGCTGTGATGGTGGCGGGTGAGTACTGTAGCTCTGTCTGGCTGGCCGTGGGAAAGGAAATGGTCCTCTGTCCTAGGCAAGTTTTACAGCTCCAGGCCAGTCTAGGCCAGCCCAGCAGAGGCCTGGGTTGTCAGAGAGGGTGCAGGGTATGCAGGGCTGGGGGCGAGGCAGGGCTGCATCTCTTCTTGGGTGGCCTCTCCTTGACCTCTTGGTCACCAGGGCTGCTGGATCCTTTTCTCCCTTCTCTCCCTTTACCCCTCTGCCCAGTTGGTCCCATCACAGATTTGTGCTTGAGGGGCCTTTCTGTTGGATGACAAAGGTCCAGCCTAGAGGGATTATCCCTCCTCACTACCTTTGCCCAGCACAGTGCCCAGTGGGCAGTTGGGCTCCCTTCAGCCTTGCCTTCTCACAAACTTGCCCTCGCTGCTCCAGACACTGGGCTGAGGAGAGCAGACTGGTGAGTCCTCCTCAGACGCACCAGGCAGGAGTGGTGCCAACAACTATTGGTGCCTAGCCAGGCCTCAGGGAAGGATGCACAAAACACCTGTTTGCTGTTTCTGATGCCCCAAACACCAGCCAGACCTCCAAGCACCTCTGCCCTTTCTGCCAATGTCAGTGCTGCCTCTGCTTCCACATGCTTTTCTGCCCCAGAGTGGGGAAGGCAGACAATCCTTCCCACCATCAGGTGGAACTCTGAGCAGAAATAAGGCAGTTTCTCAGAGATAGATCTCCTGTCAATCTCCCTGTCTTCATAGCACTGTCTTGGTAATCGTAGTAATGAGGCTTCCATCACATGCCCACCTGGAAACTAATCAAGGACCTTTCTTTGTTTTTGTCTGTGTGTGTGTGTGTGTGTGTGTGTGTGTGTGTGTTTTAATTTTCCTTGCTTATTTTTTGTTTTTATTTCTTTCCTTTTTTCTTTTTTTAAAGTACCAACTTTTGGTTTCATCCGTTT